GCCAGAACCGCCCGCGCCAGGGCCAGCGGCAGGTGACCCAGCACGCCCAGCAGCATGGCTCGGCTCGGTTGGACCCGGAGAGGTGCACTGAGGTTCAGCTGGATCGGCTCGATTCGGCTCGACTTGTCCCTGCTGGATTCGAATCGGCACGGATCAACTCAGCATTAACAGTTTATCTACTCTAGGCTTGTCTCGGCGTTATGATGCTCGGCTCCGTCCGGCTCGGATCTCACACCGCAGCGAGGAGCCCGGCGCTCCGCTTTTAAAAGAGCGGCGGCACAGCCCACCCCGCCCGCCGCGACACGGCACCGCACGGCACGGGGAAGCGCCGAGTTTCGCTTTCCTTTCTCGATGAGAAGAACTTTGGCTCCGAGCCCTTTCCTCTCGAGGCCGCGGTGTGGCCGTTGTCACCTCTGTAGGGCCGGGCGCTTCCAGCACCTGAGGATTCCTACTGGGTGTGGGCTCTGTGGCTTCAGTTCTTGCAGTGGTAAAGGGCGAGGCAAGGTGACAGCTGAGCTTGTGTTCTACGGAGCATGGTGAGGCCCTGGCACAGAGGAGCTGTGGATGCCCCATTCCTGGAGATGTTCAAGGCCAGGTTGGATGGGGCCATCCATTTTGTGGCGGGCAACTCTGCCTACTGCAGGGGATTGGAACTAGATGATCTTAAGGTCCCCTCTGACTCAAACCATTCTATGATTCACTCGCAGAATCACAGAATCACAGAATGGCCTGGGTTGGCAGGGACCTCATGAATCTCCAACCCCCTTGCAACAGGCAACCCCCCCTGCCACAGGCAGGACTATCAACCATCACATTTATACTAGACCAGACTGTCCAGGGCGCCATCCAATCTGGCCTTGAACACCTCCTGGGACGGGGCATCCACAACCTCCCTGGGCATCCTGTTCCAGTACCTCACCACTTTCTCTGTAAAGAACTTCCCCCTGACGTCCAACCTAATTCTTTCCTCCCTCAGCTTAAAACCATTTCCCTTGTCCTGCCATTATCTACTCTTGTAAAGAGCTAACTCCTCTCTTGTTTATAGGCTCCCTTTAGTTACTGGAAGGCTGCAGTGAGGTCACCCCACAGCCTCCTCTTCTCCAGGCTGAACAAGCCTAGCTCACTCAGTCTGTCCTCATAGGAGAGGTGCTCCAGCCCTCTGATCATCTTTGTGGCCCTCCTCTGGACCCTCTCCAACACCTCCTTGTCTTTCTTGTACTGGGGAGCCCAGACCTGGACGCAGTATTCCAGATGGTGCCTCACAAGGGCAGAGTAGAGAGGGACAATCACCTCCCCATTCCTGCTGGCCACCCCTCTTCTGATGGAGCCCAGGGTACCATTTACTTTCCAAGCTGCTACTCTCCTGAAGCTGCCTGGTCCACTAATGGCTGGACCAAAACATACCAGGCTTCAGCTTTCCCCTTAAGCCAGTTCCCCATCAGCTATCTTTGCTAGATCCATGTCAGCAGAGTGGGAAGAGAGCCTTTCTGCTGTGTCTGGCCTTCATAGCACCACCTTACAAATGGGTTGTTTCTCTATGACAGGAAACATCTCAGCTTCTGAGGGTTTCCTGAATTATCTTGGAGTTTATCAACAGAGACCATTTCAGTGAGTTGTCCACATGAGATGTGATCCATATGCCCTTCCAGCTCCTTCAGGTTTGTGTAAGACACAAGCTTAAGGATGAAAACAGGCTTTTCTGGTATCCTCAGTTCTTCCCTCTCTTACATAATCCCCCTCTGCTTCATGTTAGAAACTTTCTCACATGTTGTATCTTATCTACCCCAATTCATTTTACTTTCTCATCTAATTTCTAACTTGTATGTATGTCAAGTTCAGCCAATGCAACCACAGGGAGCACAGTTTTCTCCCTTCCTTGAGTTGAACATCAGATGTGGGTAAAAATCAGAGACCAGACAAAAGACATCTGTAGGTTGGTGTCTATTTCAGGGGAAATTTTTCACTCAGAGGGTGGTGAGGCCCTGGCACAACTGCCCAGAGAGATGTGGGTGCCCCATCCCTGGATACACCCAAGGCCGGATTGGGTGGGCAGTAGGTAACCAGTCCACAGCAAGGGGATTGGAACTGAATGATCTTTGAGGCCCATTCCAACCCAAGCCATTCTATGATTCTGTGATCTATGATTCTGAGAATGCTTGTAGTAGGTAGGCACAAGATCTTGAAGACTTCCACTAGTGTGTCTCATATGGCAAAATATGTTCCAAAACATGTAATTTTCAAAATCAATTGAAATTTTTAATGATTACCAATTTATCCCAACACGAGATTTACATCTGATGCAAAAAGACTCTGAGAGTATGTCTGAATAGTACCAGTAAAATAAAACATCAGCATTTTTGAACTGTGTTCCTTTTTGAAAGAGGGGATCTGCATTTCCAGAAAAAAAAAAATACAGAGAGCTTAACACTGAAGTTTACTTCCTGTTCTTCATAATTTTCTCTGAGCTTTCTTAGAAAATGGCAATTATGAAATTTCTCTCTAAGTTTTGCCTCAGCTGAGTGCAATTTCAGATGTTGTTCTCTGCATTACATGCAAAGCCCATGCCTGATTGTTACTGCAACCTAAACCTAGACCTGGATGTGCCCTCTGAGTACTAGCAAGTACTAGCAATCTACAGCACATGTTGCAAGCAATTCTGGCCTATAGCCTTCTAGAAGAGGTTTGGAAAAGCACAGTCATCTCTATAAGTGGCAGGAGATCTGGCTTCCTCCCTTTATTCCTGATAGCACTCCTGTAGTCAGAGAATGGCATCCCAGAACTTAGTGTGTTTCAGTTCATCAGATATGCATCAAAAATATTTTCAACATACACATAATTTTTAAGAAATGTTTGAATGCTGCTATTATGGCAAACTGGATGGCACACAGTGATGGGAAAAGGTTTTAAATTGAGGGAGAGAAGATTTAGGTTGGATGTCAGGGGGAAGTTCTTTACAGAGAGAGTGGTGAGGTACTGGAACAGGCTGCCCAGAGAGGTTGTGAATGCCCCGTCCCTGGAGGTGTTCAAGGCCAGATTGGATGTGGCCCTGGGCAGCCTGGTCTATTATTGAATGTGAAGGTTGGTGGCCCTGCATGTGGCAGGGGGGGTTGGAGATTCATGATCCTTGAGATCCCTTCCAACCTTGGCTATTCTGTGATTCTGTGATTCATGACTGGCGTAAAAGAATCCAGCAGGATATACGTGGCTAATACTGCTGTGCTCCCTTTTTGCTAGAAAAGCAGAACTTGAAAATAATGTTTCAGTAGAACAGTGCTTTTCACATAGTTAGCACATTTGCCCTTCAACATCGTTTCCTGTTGTACAAAAGACAAAATGATAAAAGTACAGTTGAAGTAAGTGAAAAAATGTTTAGTGTAAGTTAATTTCAAAAGAGATTTATACTCTCTACATTGATTCTAAACACAAAGATCTGCCTTGGAGAAAAAAAAAGGCAACTCCATTCTCCTTTGTTTTTACCTGGCTATTTCTGTATAATTTGTTGTGAAGCAGCTGAAATCTTGCACAAAGATAGTTTTAAGTAGTTAGCCAGGAGAATAGAAAGTCACACACAAAAGTGATCTCTTAATCATACTATTAAAAAAAAAGAAGCACTGGCTGCTTGGCTCTGGAATGCTTGTAAACAGGGTGAGATCAATGTGGTGGGAGGGGAAAATGGAAAATGGAAAATGAAAGTAAACATTCAGCCATCAGGGAAAGGCAGCAGTGCCAGCAGGAAACAAGGAAAACAGATAAGCAAGGAACCAGAGAAGTCAATGAGGAACCAGGTCAGGTTTTCAAGCAAGACTTGGCTGCGAGTCAAAGAGCTGAATGAACAAAAATGTAGCAGATAAGCTTCAGTGTAGGGGAATGTAACACAGTGCACATATGAAAAAATAATCAAAACCACATTTGCATTAATGGTGAGTTCAGTAGTTGCACTTCCATCTCAGGAAAGACATCTCAGAGTGCAGTTACCTTGCTGAAACCACTGGCTCTGTAGGAGGTAGCAGCCAAAAAAAGTCAACCAAAAAAAAGTCAATACCAAGCACTGACAATAAGAGAGATGGCATTAATTTGCTGTTCTGCACAAACTGGGCACATAGAGCTCTACTTTGAGAAGTGGTACAGTTCTGGTCCCTACATCTTAGCAGGATCTCACGGTGTTAAAGCTGTCCTTGGAATCAAATGAGCAAGGGGACTGAGCAGCAGGAAGGGCTCTCACTTCTACATGACAGACCTGAGGGGAAAATCTAAGCCAGCTTTACAAAATCATGAAGGTGGTAAACAAGCTGAGTGTTGAACAGTTATTTACTAGTCAGCTATTTTATAAGTAGAGGGCATTTACTGAAAGAAGTAACAGAGTGTACTCTCTTTTATATTCAAGACATTGAGGCCCTGGAGCGTATCCAGAGAAGGGCAACAAAGCTGTGAGGGGTCTGGAGCACAAGGTTTATGGGGAGTGGCTGAAGGAACTAGGATGGTACAGTGTGGAGAAGAGGAGGCTCAGGGGAGATCTTAACACTCTCTACAACTACCTGAAGGGAGGCTGTGGTGTCGTGGGGGGTTGGCCTCTTTTCCCGCATACAAGTGATAGGATGAGAGAGAATGGCCTCAAGTTGTACCAGGAAAGGTCCAGTTTATATGTTAGGAAACATTTCTTCTCAGAAAGGATGATGAGGCATTGGCACAGGCTGCCCAGGGAAGCAGTGGAGTTACTATCCCTGAAGATGCTCAAGAAATGTGGAGATGTGGCACTGAGGGACATTGTTAATGAGCATGGCAGAGGTGAGTTGACAGTGAAATTAGATTATCTTAAACATCTTTTCCAACCATAATGATTCAATTCTAGGATTCTGTGATATTCAGAAGTCAACTTGGGTATCTCCAACGTGCAGTTTTCCAGCTATTTAAAGGGCAAAATGGGACTGCTGCAGGTTTTCCTATTTTGCAAGCTAAATATTTCAAAAAGCACAAAATCTACATTTTGGACAGCGTCACTCCCAGCAGCTGTCAAGAATCATGTAATCATACAGTGTCCTGAGTTGGAAAGGACCCACAAGGATCATTAAGTCCAACTCCTGGCTCCACACCGGAGCATCCAAAATCCAACTCTATGCCGGAGGGCAGTGTGCAAACGCTCCTTGAACTCCAGCATTAGGGGCCGTGCCCACTGCCCTGGACAGCCTGTTCCATGCCCACCGCCCTCTGGTGCACAGCCTGTCCCTAATCCCTACCTGACCCTCCCCTAACGCAGCTCCATGCCGTTCCCTCGGGTTTATCGCCGGTCATCAGAAAGAGGAGATCGGAAACAAATTAAAAAACCATCTGTCTCTATCTTCTTTTCACTTTCACTTCCACCCCAGGCACGCCCAGCCTGCAAGGAGCGATTTCCCGCGGGGAGCGCTCCTGTGATCCACCGAACGAGGAGAGGCGGAGCAGAAAACCCTTCCCCCAGAGACACAGCCCTCTCTTTTCCTCACAGACACGAGTTAGTTTCGTTTCTCGCCGGCTCCGCCACCGCCCGCCCCTTTCCTCGCCCGACCCCGGTGCGGCAGAGGCAGCGGGCGGCGATGCTGCGGGGCTGCACCGCGGGGCCTCCGGGCCCCCTCCGCCGCGCCCTGCCTGCTGCCGCCCCCGCCGTCCGCCTCCGCCTGCGGGAGGTGAGCGTCCGGGGGGCCGCGGGGCGCTCCGTTCCGTGTGGTTGGCAGGCAGGTACGAAGGTTTAACTCTCTCCCGCAGTGCGTGGTGCGGATCCCGGAGGCCGGAGCGGTGCTGGACATTCTAGAGAAGTGCCCCGAGAGTCAGCGGAAGGGAGAGTTTCCCGTCGTGGTGTTTGAGGGGCTGGATGCCACAGGTAGGAGCGTGGTGTAGTAGCGGTTGTTGGGAAGAGTAACCACTATGGCTTTAAGACACACCTAAGGCTTAAAATGTCATTAAAAAAAACCATATTACGTTCAAAAATTCAAAAGCTCAAAAATTCAGAAAATTAGACTTACAGCACGAATAATTAGCCATTATAAATACCAGTCTACTTTCTCTCAGTTGCTGCTTTTCATCCTATGGTTGAATTCTTTGTCTGTGTAAATGAAGAAACACAAAGTGTGGCATGCTGGAAATTGTAGTTCTTGTGCAGATTATGAAGCATATTTTTGTTGACAAGTAAACTCAACTAGTGGAGCTAAAGTAGTGGTGGGCTGGGAAACTGTCACAGGGAAAAGTATGAATTGCTTCTGAATAACTTTGTTTTCTTTATTTTTGTCAAGTAGAACCGAAAATCGCTTCTAAAAAGCAAGTATTGGTTGATAGTATCCACACAGATTGTCACATAGAAAAATAACTGTAAATGGATATATAGAGAAATTAGTATTCATAATGCATTTAAAGGAGTGAATCTAGAGAACTGCTGGAAGGGAAGAGGAGGTCCAGAGAGCTGAAAGTGGAGTAATTAATAACCTTTGAGTCAAGCTCATAAGCATTTTGCACCAAAAGCCTTATCACAAGGTACTCAGGCTACACTGGTGTCAGAACATGTACTCCAAATAGAAAAATAATAGCACTTTTCAGTTATTAAAATTCAGCTGTATCTGAAGTGATATATAACAACTGTTTCCTTTTGTAAATGAAATGCAGGCAAAACCACAGTAACACAGTCAGTTAAAGATGCCCTGGGTGCTGTTCTGTTAAGGTCTCCGCCAGCTTGCATCAGCCAGTGGAGGACAATATTTGATGAAGAGCCAACGCCCATTAGAAGGGCCTTTTATGCTGCAGGCAACTACATCCTTGCTTCAGAAATAGCAAAAGCATCTACTCAGGCACCTGTGATTGTAGACAGGTTTGTATATTTAAGAAGTCCTCTTACATCAGTACCATCATCCAGTTGCTCAGTGGAAAGAAAGAAAAGAAAGGAATAGAAATGAAAGAAAAAGGGAGAAGGGAGGGGAAAGTAGGGGAGGGGAGGGGAGGGGAGGGGAGGGCAGAGGAGGGAAGAGGAGAGGATGGAAGGGAGGGAAGGGGAGGGAAGGGAAGGGAAAAGAGAAGAAAAGAGAGGAAAAGAGAAGAAAAGAGAAAAGTAGCAAGGGACCTCAGGGAATTACTGAGTCCAACCATTGCTGCAAGTCAGTGCCTACGAAATGTTAAAGCATTGAGAGAAAGAGCATTGTCCAAATGCTTGTTGAACACTGGCAGGCATGAAGCATCAACCACTTCTCTTACTCTTAATAAAGGAAGTCTATATGTACTTTGAAACCCCAGGCATGTTTCAATAGATGTACTATGACCTTCTCCCCTCCCATTGCCCAGAATTTGTTTGTGTATCTGTGAGTGGTATTTCTAACCAGCCTTAAAAACACAGAAATGTGTACAGTGTAGTGCCTCATGGTGGTAGGAATGTTAATCACAAATGAAACCGGTAACCATCAATAAAGATCATCTTCATTAACATATGGTTGAATACCTATGTTTGCTACCAAACTTGCTCCATATAGTGGTATAGAAATCACACACAAAAAAACAAAAAAACAAAAAAACAAAACAAAACAAAACAAAACAAAAAAAAAAACAAAACACAAAAAACCAACAACAACAAAAGCCATGGTTATTGGATTTGAAAATATTACGTAACACTCTCCTTTTGGGACTCATTATATGAGAAGACTTTATTTTGATAGGAGTATCTGGAACATTTTACCTAATGCATAGCTTCTACCATACCTTTTAATTCATAATTCACAATGATTCTGACTGTTATGGAGTACTATGGCAATTCTGGATGGCACAGAATTTTTCTTTATAGTTGCCTTCAAACTCCCAGCATCAACTACCTAGTCATTATTTTACTTGTGGTTATCATAGAATCAGTAGCATGGAATCATTTGAGTTGGACAAGGACCCTCAAAGGTTATCTCATCCAACTCCCCTGCAATGAACAGCTAAATCAGGTTGCTCAGAGCCCCATCCATCCTGACCTTGAGTGTCTCTAAGGATGAGTCATCTACCACCTCTCACAGCAGCCTGTTATATTGATACCTGCCTCCCATGTTACTGAAGATCTTATGTCTATTCTAAAATGTCTTTCTGTCCGTTCTGTATTTTCCCAACAGGTATTGGCATAGCACAGCTGCTTATACAATAGCTACTGAAACAGATGGGAACATCCAAAATCTTCCACCAGATCATGATGCCGTGTATAAGTGGCCTGAAGACCTGCTCAAACCCGATCTTGTTCTTCTCCTAACTGTCAGCCCTGAGGAGCGAGCTCGGAGGCTTGAAGGTCGAGGGCTGGAGAGAACAAAGGAAGAGGCTGAGCTGGAAGCTAACAGCTTGTTTCGCCAAAGGTATACTTTAATGAAGGGTAAGAGGATGGAAGCAGTCTTGGTTCCTGTGAAATCGGTAACAAAATGTCCAGCTTTTGTTACTGGGACAAGGATTCCCGTATCTCTACATCTTGTAGAGATTTTTTTTTTCTTTTTTTTTTTTGGAAAAGATTCATGGCTGATGAGGAGGGTAAATTTTATCATTTCTAATTAAATGTTTGAAAGCTACAGGTGAATAATTTCAGTCTCCTATATAGTCAACGCAGTCAGTGCCACCTTCAGCGTAATTCAGCTGAGTCAGCAGCTGGAAGCTAAATGAGATTAGACTACGTCGTCTCAAGCAGCACTTGAAACACATGTTTAGGCATCTGAATTGCACCCTAGATATCCTACTTCAGGGTGAGCTGAATTGCTGTCTAGGTGCCACCAAATGTATTGGTGACGTCATCATTTTTTGCAGTGGGAGCATGAATAACTAGTGCTCTTGTATATACCTCCACATCAACACCTGGATGTAGGTGTCTATATACACAAATCTCAAAGCTGAAACTTACCTCTCAAGTTTTAGCATTTATATTGATAGCACATATTAAAAAATATATTGCTTAATTTTGACAGAAGCTCTGTGCAGACATACAGCAGGGCCTATGCTAGGATGGGTGTACTGAGAGAAAATGATGCCATTTAAATATCATAGACTCATAGGATCATAGAATTGCTCAGGTTGGAAAAGATCTTCAAGATCACCAAGTCCAACCACGACTTGACCATACTACCCTAATTCTAACAACCCTCTGTTAAATCATGTCCCTGAGCACCACATTCAAGCACATTCAGGGATGGTGATTCAACCACCTCCCTAGGGAGCCCATTCCAGTGCTTAATAACCTTTTCTGTAAAGAAGTGTTTCTTGATATCCAACCTAAACTTCCCCTGGCTCAACTTAAGGCCATTTCCCCTTGTCCTGTCACCTGTCACCAGTGAGAAGGTACCAGCCCCTCTCTTACCACAGATACCTTTCAGGTATTTGAAGAGAGCAATAATGTCAGGTGTTAGAAGCAGCATGCCTACTGTATAGCTGTTCTGGACAGTTTCTAGAGCTAAGCCATAAAGAAAGAAATGCATCAGTGTCATGCCATGTGAATATTGATATGGGTCTGGCAATCATTGTCAAGGAAACTGTGCAGTCTCAAGTTTTCCTAATAGTTCATTGTTCTTTGCAGTAGATTTCATACTTAGCTTCATATTACATTTTTTTCCATTGTCTCTGCAGTGCCAGCACTTTCTTCTGAGACCGATGACTAATGCCGTTTCACATTCCTGCAATTTGTTTTGTTGCTCTTGTTTTGTTTTAAAATAGAATTGAAGAGTCGTACAGAAGGATGGTGAATCCCGCATGCCAAGAGGTTGATGCCAGTCCCTCCAAGGAAGAGGTTTTCAAGACAGTGCTGCAACTAATTAAAAAACACTGTGCCTTGTGAAAGCAACTTCTTTTTATTAACACTTAAAATCTACTTTTTATTGTCCCTTTATTTCTGCTAGCTCTAAGTGCCCTATGATGTGCTTTGTTCCCTAGAAGAACCTTTTATTTCTTCTGCCAACAGCAATCTGGTCAGGTTATCAGTTTCACTGATGTCTACTGCACTTTTATGTATGAAGCAAAATAGCACTCCCACATTGTTCAGCATTCCTGGTAAAGCCACAAGCCTACCATTGTCTTACACAAAGTACATGAGAGTCCTCTCTGACAGTGCGACATTTCAAGATGCTGTCAGGTTGTATCATCATCAAGATGAGAACTTGTTCCTGCCTTCACTGTGCACCAGAATTCACTGATTGCAGCAGGGGCATGAGATGTATAAGGAGAGGATAAAATGTAATCCAGCAGTAAAGCAATGAGACGATCATAACATTTTGGAACAGCCTGATATTGCTTACTGTAATAGAGGATGAGCTGCTGTGATGAGCATCCTGTAAGAAGTGTCTCATAAATACGGGCTAGTAAGTACCTGGGACTCTAAGGAATACAGCTCATGCCTGTCAACATATGCAAATGAAATGTAAATTCATTTCAGAGGGAAAAAATGAGAACACTGACATGTTAGAAGCAGAGACCTGAGAGGAACATGAGATTAAAAACATTGGTTAAATAATTCTTAAAATATCTTTCTACAAAGTATTTTCTCTATCCTATAGGTTTGTCAGTGTAAGTTTGTGCTCTTTTTGAGAGAATATGAAACAACAAAATGCAGAGAATTGGAGCAATGAGGATGATGGTTTTTTTACCCCACATGTTGAATACAAAAGCAGGCTACCAGCAAGACTTCAGCCCTGCAAAGGCTTATTTTTATGTATGTTTGTTTCACTGTTACTCATAACTATAAAACAAAACATATGGATAAGCCTTTGGGGGTGTCAGAAGAGAACTGCAGTTCCAGAAAAAACAACAACAACAACAACAACAACAACAACAAAACACTAATAAAATGCAATTTGATTTAAAACACTATGCTTACTTTCCTGTGTTATACAATATAATTATGAACAAATCTATCTTGTAAATTAAAATGAGCAGTATTGTATTGATTATATCCAATCTTTATATAGAAGGTGATAAAATAACTTCCAAACCCGATGATTTTAATGTAAATAAGTTTTGTTCATGAACTCTTTTATCTTTGTGAGTCTATGCCATTTATGTAATACATTTTTACATACTGATAATGTATGCTGCTGTGTTTGGTGTGTTATTCTGAATAACAGTAGCCTTGGGATCTGCCATGCATGTAGGCTGGAAATACATCTTGTGGGCGATACACTTATGAAGCGTTCAGGTATTCAGTTATTCTCAGATAATCACTGAATTCCACATATGGAGGGCAGCACTGTGCATGGATCGCTAGGCTACCAGTAAATAATACACGTGACCTAAGCATTCTGTAGCTTTTCCAAGTGAGAGAGCACCTGGCCTGAAGAACACTGAACATTTCATGCCAAGCAAGAATTTCATCTGCTTGCTGAGTTGTGAACTGTTTTGCTGAGAAGTTTAATGGCCATAGGAGGTCAGGGTTTTTGTTTCGGTGCTTAAAGATCTGAAGCTCCAAAGAATATTACGCAGATTGAGGAATTTAGGCTAAATCTTGGTAGATCAAATTGGTCTTTTTTGTGTATCTTTTAGACATGATCTAAGAAAGACTGTGGATGGGCCCATGTCATAATGCTGGCCCATGACCACGAGCCCTTGCCAGGCAGTCCAAAGCATGTTCATCCTTCAGCATCTTCATTTATTTACCACTGGCCAACCTATTCTTGAGACCAGGAGTTTCTGAGCACAGATGAAGGTTGTCAGCCTGAGGGTAAAAGACATGCCAAAGAATGTTTGTTTTATTACTACCCCAGTAAATATAGCAATTTGTTAATTTACTTATTTACTAATGTAGAACTGGCTTTAGGACATGGTATTGCAAAGATCCTGCTGCCAGGAAAGCACACACACAAAAACTTAACTTTGAGATTCTTAGTACTGCTTTAAAGTCAGTGAATGCAGCTCTTACTAAAAAGCAAACATATCTGTAAAGTTCAAGTGTTTCCTCAGGTATAAAATAATACTTGTATTGGCTCGAGTTAATTTTTTTTTTTTTTTTTTTTTTAGTTATTAAAAACATCTCCGAGAGTTTTATGTGAGAGACTTTTACTTGATATTGTATTGCACTGTACTGTGTAGTACTCACCTCAGTATTTTAAGCACTTTTTTTCCATTTTAATATAATTTACTGCCTTTTCTGTGTGTTTATTTATTTGTTGGCGAAGAGTAGATCAGAAGTTTACATAAGGTGGTATACATAAGGTGGTGTCTTTAACACAGATATTGAGGGCCTGTTCATCTCCCTTAGGTAGCTGAGATGTCTGTGCAGAGCTGCCAGCCATGACAGAAGACATTTGGGTGAGCTGTTCATCTGCAGAGTGGCAGCTGGAGGCCTGCAGGGATACCATATGGTGCCTAAAATGGCACTGCTCACACTTTAAAGCAGTGAGAGGTTAGAAAACAGTGACATAGACTGCTTGTCTGTGTCTGTATTAGCAGGTGGCATGGAATGAGGAGAGGAGCTAGTGCAGATCCCAGTGTGTACCTTACAGGTATTTTGAAGATTCATTTCAGATGAGGTCTAATCTTATCACATGGGCTGGTCTTGCATTTGCAGCTGCTATGTGTTCCTGCACCAAATCTGCTGTTTTAACTTTGAATGGAGCTCAGTTCACCAGTTCCTGTACACAGTGCAAAGCAAAGCCTGGTAAGAAGCGGTGGTCAGGGAAACACTTTGAATGCATGTTCCTGATCCAAGCCAAGATGCTAAGATAGATGCATTATGTAGATGCAATGTGCGTCTTTTGCACGTTGCAAGTGGAGCAGAAAGGTTTCCTAGGAAGCAAAATAGAGCTTGGGAATCCTGTACCCTCAGCCTCCAAACTCAGAGTTAATCCTGAACATGCTACAGCATGGTCCATGCCCTTCTGTTTCTTGTAGTAGTACCCACTAGATGGGAGCAGGGGAGGATGGGTTGTGGTTTTCTTCTTTGTTCTGTATTTTGTGTGCTTTCTCCATATCATTACCAGCTTCTAGAAATTTGCCCAAAAATGTGCACACTGCCTCTATCCTGACACAGTTCCTGTCAGTTCCTGACTGTTGTGGAGGAAGGAAAGTCAGGACCTACTCCAGGGGACTTTGATGGAAAGAAAAATGTCTTCCCAAGGCCAGGATGAACAAAGGCCTCAAATACTCCTTTTTTAAAAAAAAAGAAAGATAGAAAGTAATGAACAATGAGTCATTGCTAGCTGTCTGTTAGAATTCATTAGCTTTTTCAGTCCCAGTTCCCCCATTTTCTTAATTTGAATATTTGAAGAAGTGCATAAGATGGAATTGTTGCTGCAGGGAGCTGCACCAACTTTGATCTTTTAAATGGAAAACTGTGTTCAATAAAATTTAATCATCTCCTTTGTAAAGACAAAAATCATCACCCTCTGGCTTAATTTAGCTAAAGAGATGTAGGGTTTATGTAAATATGCGGTCATTGTAATATGAAACAAAACTTGAATACCCTGTCATTAGTATAAGCCTGCTGTGTTACCAGCTGGTCAGTCGTGACCTTTCATTCAGCCATAGAAACAGTGCATGTCATGCACTCCCAAACAGGAGAAATACGAAACAAAGTGTTCCTATGTCTGCAGTTTCATTGCTTATGAGAGGAGGCAGACAGATAAAGCCCTTATTTAAGCTTGTAGCAGGCACAGGAGGAGTTCCAGTGGGTCAGTTACTGCTCCTGCTGCCCACCCTTGTCAGTGCCAGATGCACAGTGCAGGAATAGTGCAGCCTGCACAGCTGTTTCATCTTGGAGGTGGATTTTTTCATGAAAGATAATGTGAGCAAGCAGGCACATCTCAAGAAGACTAAAGGAAAAAGTTCTCAGAGGATCTAGACCACCTCCCACAGCTGGAAGTCTTCTGGGCCAGCAACTCTAAAGCTTTTGTCATTGATATGAATACTCTCCTAGAGAAGCAGTTCCAAATACAAGTCTTTCTTGGTTTTAGCGGTATTGGTCAGGCTTGCTTTATGTTGGAGTGGTGAGTAATGAGTGATGTCCTGTGTTAATAAATCTCAGCTATCTTAAGGATATTTTTATTTTTCATTCTAAAATCTTAGAATCATAGGATCACAGAAGCACAGAACCATTTAATCAGAATCACCTGTTGGTTGGGTTGGGCGGGATCTCACAGCCCACCCACCCAACCTGTGCTATGGGCTGGCTGCCCCCCACCAGTTCAGGCTGCCCAGGGCTCACCCAACCCAGCTTTGAATGCCTCTGGTAATGGGGCACCCACAGCTCTCTGGGCAGCCAGTGTGAGCACCTCACCACATGGCAAAGAAATAGAGTACAATGCTTTTGTTAAAAGTTGCTGAAAAGTACTGTCATCTGAGCTTTCTCACTCTACAATATTTTACTGGAGCTGTTCTCCTAAGATCAATATAGACATCCCTGAATAATGCAGTTCATGTATTTTATTTTATTTTTTTTTGGGGGGGGAGGGAGGGTTTGCTCTAATTTCACATTATCTACAATAAATTTATTTGGTAAATGAATTACAGGCCATTTTATTGAAGGGAAAGCCCTTGCAGCTAGCTTAACTTGCAGTTCTCAGCATTGGAAATGGCACTGGGATAAATTGTGATGTTTGGGATCAGAAGCCTTTAGCTGGGTGTGACTCAGCTTCCCCACAGCAGTGCAGCTCTGCAGCTAGCACAAACACCACCATATATTTTTTTACTGCTATGAGGAGTGCAGCTCCAGAGTTCATCTGCTTTACAACCACAGCTGCCTCCCTCAGAGGATGCATCATCTGGCCAACAAACATTTCTCAAGGTGCTGTAAATAGCCTCTCCTTTACATGTGTGGGAGTTTCACTGAGCAGGCAGATAGGAAATGATCAGAGTGTGGCCTCTGTATAGGAAATTGGTACTCGTTTATTTGCAGCTGCAACACAGAGGAAGAACCTCTACGTTGCATTGCCAGTGACCACCTAAAATAAACTCCCTTTCTCAAAGTGTTTGATCTTAAGAAATTACTTGGCACAAAGGTTTTCCTAAAAATCTGAACATGTTGGGTCAAAACCTGTTTTTCGCATAACCCTGCAAAGACTGGATCTGAGGGATAAGATCAAAAGAGCAGTGGAA